CCAAAGGGTTGATGAAGTACTCGGAAGAGCATGTCATTCAATAAAGATTCTATAAATCTCACGTAGTGTGGGTGCTTGGAACTAAGTCACATCAACTTTGATCCACATCTAAAAAGAAGCATATATTCGTAGCTTCTGCATCTTTTGTCAAATTTGACGTTATTTTTTCTTACTCCATTTCAAACATGCGAATAGTAGAACAAACATGGCAATAGGGCATTAAAAAGTAAAAAACTTCATCAAAGATATTCAAACTGAGGACAAAATAATGGGGTATAAAAAAAGGATCAGGCCACTAAATTTTGATTGAGTTTTTTTTTTTCACAAACTAATAGCAAAATTCAGTGCTTTCAGAATTCTTTTAAACTTTTTATTTTATGCCTATGTGACATTTGTTATTATGTTGTAAAATACCTGAATAAGTTGGTCATTGTCATCCATCTCATGTAATACAACGGTATCAGCATTAGCAATTGTAGATCCATATACACCACTTCGTTTTGTAATGGAATGTCCTTTCCATTTACCAAGAAAAGGTGTAATCCTACTCTTTGTATCCTAACGAGAATTCAAAATGAATGAAAAAGGTCATATACATAAGAAACTATAGACATAAGATGTTGTTCTGCTAATGTCAAAACGGGTAAAACATTCAAAGCAAAATCTCAGCTATCAAATCTGCAGCAGACATTACATATACACAATAAAAGAAAGTTCCACATATCTCAGTCAAGCTCACCATAGAACTGTCAAGTAGAGGAGGAGCCCCATCACTTCTTTCCTCTAGGAAGACGATAAGCATATCTACAGTGCCTTTTGGCTCCAAAATGTGAAAGGCTCTTGCTCGCTTATCTCTCTGTAGAGAGTACAGGCAATTCTCACATACAACAGAAGGTCGCCGAGAGGGAAGCTTGAGATTTCTGCAGCATATGGAAGTGTAAAGTAAATGATCTAAGGCAGAACATATGGCATGTACATTAGTAATTTAGTATGCTTTCTTTTTCTCACGTTGGAGCTCAAGGTTCAAATCGTTTAACAATAAACCCTTTAATTCAAAACAGGAAGAGGTTCTCATTACTAATTTAGGGTAGCAAATCGCATAGTTTTGCACATTAGGCTGTTAACGATTAAAAGGGGAGGGTAAAAATGGAAGGCCAAGAAAACTACTAAGAAAATATTGGTTTTTCATAAAGCAATGGCATCAACAAACCAATGTGAAAAACAGCCTAGTCGAATAAAACTTGGTTGTTGCTGTCAATGGTGATATAGGATATTCCAGATTAATCAAAATGACATTAAATCCAAAGGTTTCAAATTAACTAAGTAAGCAATTGCTATAATATATTGTTAATTATCATAAAAATATCAGGGTTTGAAAGATTTCTTTCCCTACTTTGCCTGAAAGACTATAGACAATACTAGCATTAAGCCATTATTTGAGTTGGCTTCAACAGTTGGACAGCATAAAGGAAAATAAGTTGATAAAGTAATATGATCTAAATAATCAGTATTTTTGCACATTAATTCTAAGGCAAAAAGATGACTCCTTGAAATGTTGACAGTTAGAGTTAACAGGGAGTAGAAATTAGGGTTTATATAAAGTTTTCCGGTTAACCATGGACTTCATTCGATGAAAACAAACATCTTGAAAATTTCATTTAAGTATTTTCATTTTCTGCTACCAGAGGTGTTTCTTCAGCTAACATACAAAACAGAGAGTTTTAGTGAGAAGGCCACATATAGCCTTTACATGTTGTAAAAATCGTATTTAATGGCTTGAGTCTTGGAAGCAATAATAGCATAATTTTGTCACATAACACACTTATAGAAGTTATAACATATGTTAAATTTGGCAGGTTAAGCAAGCACCTGGTTTAGCCAGTGTATGCTGTTAAAAAACTTTAAATTTGTAGGTTTTCCTCTCTTGTTTAGATTTTCAATTGAATGTTTTATGATCACCTAAAAAATCTTTATATCTAATTTTTCCTCCTCAGATTGCTCATAGTCATATGCATCCGCTTGTAAATTATCGTTCAACATGAAAGCCACAAATAGCCTTACATGTTACATTGGAATAAAACTTCATATTAAGGAGAAAATTACTATCAAGAGCAGGAACTTTGGTGTCACATTTCAATGTTGATGTTTAATAATTTCTTTCTCTATTTTCAATTGAGCTTATTCCCACTCTTTTATTAAGAGTAGAAACAAATACCACACTCCTTAGATTACCACTTATGTTATGCACGTGTCAAAATAATCCGACAAAAAATAATTAGCCATTTATCTCTATGGCAGGGTAATGTGAACATGTAAAGCACATTCCATTATTATCGTTACCAAATGCACCCTTGAGTTCATTTACAATGCTGTAATGCATGATAAATTTTTTAAGGTCAGCAATTGTTACACTTCCCCAACATAGAAATCGACCAAGCAGTGCAACTTGGTCTCATCTACGAAAAGAAGCATCTTTACCTTGGCGATTCTTCACCAGTGTCATCTTCTCCAAGAACACCTTGCCTTAATACAGTTTCCAACATGCCAGCTGTTTGGTATCTCAATGCAAATGCCCTCTCAGATGGGAAAAAGCCTATCTGAAAACTAATTGTGATGGATACACTAAAGAAGCAATGGGATCATAAAGAAAGAACCAAAAATTTTTAAAAGATGATTATAATCCAGTTCAATGTTCCAGCATAAGAAGAAAATCTCACTTGTTGGTATTTGTCAACAGTAAACATATTGGTTTCTTTAATTTTGTACTCTGCCCATTCTGCATCATTGTCATCTCCAGAAATTGAAGTACTTGATGAAGGTTGTTTAATATACAGCCTGCAAGGAGCAACAAACATAAGATTTCCTTTAACCTTTTGCACAACCTGAGGATGAACAAATAATTCTCAGATTCAAATGATTTACAATTCCTCTAGACTTCTAGTTGTGTCACATTATTTTCCCTTGCTTTGTTCAAAAGAAAAGAAGCATGCTGATATAAGCGTGAGAGAAAGGTTTATTACGTTTGAATGAGGCTCATGAGTTCATCTTCCCCATAAGAGCTAGCGGAAAGCTTGGTACTCAGTTGTTGTAACATATTCCCACATGAATCAAATTGCTACAAAACAGAGGAAAACAATGTCATTAAAAACGCTGATCAATAATATATAGAAAAAAACTTGGGCAAAGAGTTGTTTAAGTACTTGTCCTTTTGAAACTTAAACTTAATAGGATTATAATAATCATTAAATTTTAGTTTGTACACACTATCACAGTAAAAAGTGTTACATTGTTTACTAACCAGGAATCATTCTAACTGAACTTTTGAATTAGTGATTGTGTAAATCACCAAACTTAACCAGCATGCCAATTTGTGATTAGATGAGACAGTGTAAAATGCCTTTAGATTATGCATGAGGATTTTTGGGTCTAGTAAAATGATTTATAGCATATGTTCCCATAATTTTTTAATCATTTAGCCAGTACCCCACGCACTGGATAGCATTTATTTTTTAATTTTACAGGCAGCAAAAAAAATTCACATTACTAACTAATCAAAATCATGGTTGTTGCCAATAAATTTCAGCCAATGAAAGGGAGGTTGTTCATATGAGTGTGTTTCCAGCATTTCTGAAGGTAGTTATTATGAAATTTATCAAACTTGATATACATGACAATGAATGAGTATGACAATGCAAAGAGCATTTAATCTCTACACTTTTGCAAAAACATTATCAAAAAATAAAAAATCATCATAACTATATTTAACTTCTAAGACATATATTGTGTTTGTTAAAGTATGATAGCACTACAAACACTCAAGTAAGCAAAACCACAGTTAGACAATGAAAGAAAAAGGGTAAGCATTAATCACTAAGATGGGGTTCAGATGATACATAGAAAGAGCCGTTCCACTTTCCGGAGTTAAGGTTGATGAAACGTCGCAGGTTGTCGATGCTCATAGCGGCTTCTTCGACGGTTGGCGAGGAGGAGGAGGAGGCTCTGATCCTGGTAAAAGGGGAAGAGAAAGAGAAAGCAACGGAATTTGGGGTAACTGAAAGAAAGCGAACCGTGTTAGAGTTAAGGTTGGGAAGAGAAGAGACAGAACAACACTGAATTGAAGAAGCCATTTTTGTTTCTCTCCTTCTTCTTCTCCACCAAAACAAAATCTATCTTATCGGCACTGTGAGAAATGCTTTTTCCACCGTTGGATATTTTAATTTTTAAATGACGGTTGTGATTCTTTTAATCTTTTTATTTTCTTTTTCTGTCTTTCCTTATTTTACCTTCACTTCTAAAAAAAATGCGCCAAATTTTAAAATACTTTAATTATGTAATGTTTAATCACGAAATGTATAAAATCCATACAGTTTTATATTATTTCGAAACATTTTTTTGTAATTTATACTAATTGCATTTTTGGGTTTATTATATCAATCCAGATATTTTTGAAAAATAAGGTTTTATAATCCATAAAATTTTAAAACTTACATTATCTCAAATTTAATGATTATTTTAAATTTTTTTAATCTATATTAATATTTATGATTATAATTTCTTTAAATTTAATAATTATTAAATATATTTATTTATATATTTATAAATTTAAAATATAATTTTTTATATATTATTTTATTTTTTATATTTATTTATTATTTATTTATAATATATATATATATTTTTAATATTAATAATTAAGATCTGTCACTAATAATTTATGTAATGACCGATAATTTAAGAGTTATTTTTTTATCCAAACGTACTTCAAAATTTATAACCTTAATAATTCTATCATTTCATAAATGGAAGATTAAAAAAATAGTTACATAAATACTTTTAATTATATAAAAAAATGATAAAATCAGCATAGAAAAATACGTAGAGGAAGATGAAATAAGGTTAATCATTTGCTTAAACCCTAAAAACCTAAGAACATGTAATAACGAAGAACACAACACAAGTCATCCATGAAAACCAGATGCTTCTTCCCATCCCTAAACCACCTAGAAACCATCCATGAAAACCAAGTTGACGTGATAAAGAAAATTGGCCACAACAATGACCCAAATGCAGGAACTCATCACTGAGGGCAAAAGAGAAGCAGAGACAATGAGGAATGATGATGATGATGATGATGGGGCTGGTGCCATTGCAGGATGTTCTTGAACATGCACAGCAACTTTCATGCCATGGAAACAGTACCCTCCAGCGGAGAGGTAGTAGTAGGTCCTTGCCTCCGTCATCTGCACCACGTCACGACCACCTCGTGTCAGGTTTCTTATGAAGTCCCTGTCTATGCAGTTCTCGTAGCTTGTCTTGTTCACCTCCAGAACATTGTAGTATCTTTTGTCGAACATGAAAACTTCATCAAATCCATGCATGTTCAAAGAGAAAACCCAGTAAGATGCATTATGGATTTAGACACAATCTTTTGTATAATTACATTATTAAAAAAAATAAACCTTTTAAATTACAACATAAAAACATTATACTTAAAAACTAATTGCGTTATACCTTTGGAATTAGCTTTTTTTTTTTTTTTTTAAACAAACCTAAGGAGCTAAATAGCTAATTTGCGTTATACATTCTAAAGATAGAATAAAATTTAGAAAATCATAATCCTAAATTTGAGAATTTTTTTTTATTTTTCAAATTGAAATTTATTTATTTATTTTAGTATGTTTAATTAAAAAAATGTTTTAATATCTCTACTACCTAAATGTCTTCTACGGTTAACAAAATCTTTGATAAAAGAATGCTTTGAGTTATGTTTTGTAATCAAAATGAAAAGTATGTAGAAGTTTGATGAAAATAATGAAATCATGTCATTAAAATTTCTCATATTTTGTGCGATTTTCTTATTTATCAAGAATAATTTTTTTAGGTTTATAAAATAAAAACTAAAATAAATCTCATAAAATATAAAAATAATAGTAATAATTATGTAATTATTATAATCATATAAGTAAAATTTCTACTATGTTTTGAAGGACTTTAAACTAAAACAAATAAGAATATCATATACGAACATATTCAAACATAAAAGTACCTTTAATTTTATGAAGCTTCAAATTGCTATTAGAACTTTGTCTCCGATTTGAGATCATGTCTGTTCAATGTGTGATTTTCGTGAAGGCCAATCTTTTGTTCTTTGAGTTAAAGCTTGGATTTTGAAAGAAGATTCTTCTTCTTTTGTGCTTCTCTTGACCAAGCCTTTAACTTTTTCTTTTTACCATATAAATTTACTATCAATAATATTAATTAGGGATTAATCTGTTCTAACTACCTTAATCTTTTATCTTCCTTTTCTAGCTCAGGAATTAATTAACATCATTAATTGTCACTTAATTAGCAAAGTTTCTGAATTTAACAAAAGGGTAAAAGAGTGTGCCATGTTTTCTTTTTAGTCTCTCTTTTACAGATCCTTGTTCAATACTCCATCCAACTCACGTGAATAAAAGTTTCTGTTTGTAATTAAACCTTTCTAAGCAGGGATTAATGTTAGAAAAATATTATACGAAAATTGATCAATCTCACAACCCTGTTTTAAGGAATACCTAAAGAGAAATGAATCATATGAAAAAAAAAATGAAGAAGATAGAACCTAACTACATGTTATTATCATTTTGAAGGATATGAAATCAAATTAAAAAATATGCACTTACTTAGCCAATCTCCAAGATATACATGTTCTTCAGCAGACCATTCTGTGTAGTTCACATCATGGTCTATCCAACCTTTGGAACCTCCCACCTTATGAAGCACCGGACTTCCTATAACCACCAATGACAACCATCCCACCACCACCATACCCGCCATCAACGCTGTGACATTTTGCTTCCTCATTTCAGACAGATCGATAGAGAGATAGGTTAGATAAGTAAAACAAGTTTGTTTGAAACGTCTCACACACTAGGTTTTCTTCTCTTTGGAACCATGATAGATACATGTGTGACTTAAATAGTGTGAGGGAAATGGCATGAAATGAAGCACTTGTTTAAAGTGGTGTGCATTGATAGTGAGGCTTTTTAAAGTGGTGTGAGATGGTGCATAAGAACAAGAACAGACTCAGTCACAGATGAAACGTAAAGTTAAGGGCGTTTCGAATCAAAACACGCTATTCATGCATGTTGTTGGGACAATGGATCCCACGTTTTTTTGTATTTTTTCTTCTTCATGTGGTTGAGTGTTGTTTACAATTAATTAACTTTGTGTTGTTCACTCAATCTTGTCTTTTAATGCAATTTAAGATAATAATAACTTCCAAATTAATAATAATCATGAGGCTTGTTCATGCTTTGATGAATAGATTGCTGTGCAATCAGGCAAAAAAATGGTTACTTTTTATAACTGGGGTAACGTTTTGATTACTCTTTATGTTATTTATCATTTAAAATTAATTAATTAAACAAACTTTTCTTGATGTACTTCTTTTCACAAGTTTTTTTTTTTCTTAATGTATATCAAATTTGTAATATTGTTGAAAAAAAAACTCTGAATATCAATCTAACAAATAAAATATTTAAATAGAAATTGAGTTTTTTTTGTCCCATCAAACCATATGATTTTAATTGACCTAATTGACTTATATTATATTAAAAAAAGAATATAGAAACATAATTTAACAAATTACAGGATAATAGTGTCTTTTAATAAAATATAGTGGTGCAGATAGAAATGACGAGTGTAATAAGCAATTTCTTGATTTAACAGGCCCACCGGGCCAGTTTTGAGAGCAATGTTCTAAACCCAATTTTCAGTGAACTTCTCTCTCTCTCTCCATTCCCATTATCATTTCCCACCAAAAACTGCTGAATTGAGTCAATTTTTTCCCACCAAAAACAGACTCAGATTCTCACTCTGTCGTTCAATTCAACCACACATCACAATCACGGAATTTCAATTTCTCTATTTGAATCTTTTCAGCCATGAAATTCAAGGCCTTCGTAACCGACAACGGTGTCAACCTCCTGGAGAAGCGGTTCCTCCCCGCCCTCGAGAAAACCGGGAAATCGTGCCACCTCTACCTCACGCGCGACCACGCGCTCTTCCTCCACAACCTCCTCAACGGCGACGGCGTCCACTCCGTCGCGCAATTCCGCAAGGAGGCGCTCTTCCACGACTACCGCATCTCCAGCAACAACGATGATCGCATCGCCTTCGCCCTCGACCTCTCCCTCCTACTCCGCGCCCTCCGCAGCGCCGTCGCCGTCGCCTCCGAGTACTCCGCCTCCGCCTCCTCCACGCGCCTCGAGATCAAGCTCGTCAAGAAACTGTCCCCGAACTCCACCCAGCCCATGCCGTTCCTCACGCTGGAAACGCGTGGGTATAAGTCCGCTGTGATTCAGGACATTCCTATCTCCAAACCCTTGTCTCGGGCGCAGGTTACCGAGCTTCAGAGCGCCCTTGATTCGGCGCAGGATCTCCCTCCAACACTCGTTCAGGTACTTCCCTCTTCCAATTTTTCAGTTAGAAACCTGTATTAGGAATAAACCACCATCAAATTACTACTTAATGTATTAGGAATCATAGTGAGTAATCACAATATTTTATTACCATATCCTTGTATGCACAATTTTTAAAAAATTGCCTTATTCTCATATTTGTAATGATGAAAGGAGATTAGTTTGAAATGGTAGTGAATTTTTTTCCTAGTCATAGTAGTAATATGGGAAATGAATCTCCTAATGAGATGTGACCAGAGAGTGTAGGAATGGCTGACGAGATAGTGAGTGAGGAGTGTTTTAATTCCCATAGAGATTACATGCATAAAATATAATATTGAAGAGAGATATTGATTGTGCCTAATTGAGATAATGCCAAAAATATAAGTTATATTTTAGATTTGCAATATATAAATTAAATTGTAATATAAAGTTATAATTGAAATACATAATCAGATAACCTATAAAGATAAAAAGAGGTTAGTTGGAGATGATTGGGAAAAATAATTGTAAAATGCAATTCTCAAGGAGTGTAAAGAGAGTATTGAAAATGCTTAATTGAGAAAGTCAGTTGAGTGGGATTCCACTATCCAAATTGAAGATTCTACTTTTTATAGTCTAAAAGTAGGTTTACGATTCTAAGTCTAGCTTTGCCCATGTTTTTCATTGCCCATGTTTTACGATTCTAAGGAGGAGAGTTATGTTAAGCCTTCGGTAGTCACCGCAAAACTCACCGATATAACTGTACCAATCATTGATAACAGATTTACTTGTCATGATTATTTTTTGAGTCTGTAATTGTTTGGTTTCATTAAAATTTGCTAGACATGAATTGAGTTATATATGCTGAGTCCTCAATTAGTCGCTATTCTATTCAGGTTATTCAGTTATGTTCTGTTGTTTGTTTGTTTACAGCCCATCACTGCATGTGGGCTCGTGTTTGTGTGGACAAAAAAGATGAATCAATGGAAATTTAAGTCTTTTCACTCATCTAATTTTCTCATCCATGCAGGTGCCTGATTTGAATCAATTGTTGAACTTGGTGGATCGGATGAAGCTGGTGGGCGATGTTGTGAATGTGTTCATAAGTAGACATGGGGATTTGAGTGTGCAAGTTTCGACCACACTGATCAGTCTGGGTGCTGAGTTTCGGAGACTGGTGGTGATTGGAGAGCAAACAAATGCCCCTTCCGAAGATCAAAATCTCAGTGCTCATGCACGATCGTCAAGGTCCATTTCAAGAGGAGATGGACAATCTGTGCAGGTTAGTGTGAAGCACTTCGCCAAGAGCCTTCAGTGTCACTTGGCCAGACCAGATTCTGCTTTCTACGGGATTGCTCCACAGGGCAGTTGCCTGACAGTAATATTTCAGTTCTTCATTCCAGGTTCTCGCGAGACTGATAAATCAATCAGCTTGCATTGCAGGCTTCCTGTTCTTGATCCTGGTTCTGGTTAAACGCCAACAGTCTTCTAAATATATAAAAAAAAAAACTTATAGCCTCAGAAATTGAGTTGAGATAATGTCGAGTTGATTAGTGTTTATAATGAGTGCTATAATAAACTTTTAACAAGAACATCGTATTAATTTCTTGTCTGTATGACAAAGTTTACATTATATAGTGGAATAGTGTGACATGGCTACAATGTTGTCTTAGGTACCCTGATGTCAAATATGGATGAAGGTAAGGGAGCAAATTAGGTTATTGAAAGTGTTATTTCAAATCAGTGATAATGTGAAATTGAAACAAAGTGCAATCTAGAGCAATTTACCTTAGGTCTTTGCATGTACAGATCATTCCATAATAAAGGAAAATTGACTGACATTTTTTTCCATTTGGTGAAATTCATGTGGGGTTCATTTCGTTGTGCTAATTGTTTTACTCCCCAGAGAAGATTGGATAAGAATGGTGTATTAGAGAAGGTGTTGGCATTTTTTTGAGCAAAATTGATGGAAAAACAGATTAGTATTTGTTGAATCTCATCTGTAAAATTAACTTCAAGTAGATCAGAAAGTTCAAAACAAAACCTGCTTTTATGAGCTGACAGTGATGCAGCAATACAACTTGGCTTCACTTTAGGCCTTGATCTGGATTATCTAAATGCATAACTGTATTAGCAAAGTTTACGGTGAAATTATTGAAAATTATATTAGTTATAATTATCTTAATTTAGATAATGTTGCATTTCGATGAATTAAAAATGGAATGTCATAGAATTAATCAATTAGAGAAAATATATGTAAGAAAATTAGGAGAGTCATATGTTAGAATATGCAAAATATAAAGTGTCACTTGGATTTGTGTATGTTATATAAAAATAAGTTTTGTAATATCCAATATTCTTTATCAAATTATGTGCTTAAATTAATCATTTTTAATTTAAATTAGTTTTTATTTTTTTTAAAACTGAAAATATTGATTATCTTTTATATTTTCACAATTCGGTGTTGTTGTCAATTCATTATTATTTTTAGTTTATTTAAATGAAATTTTTAATTTAAGTGTGATGTTTTCAGTTTTGAATATAAATTATCATGAATATTATTTAATAATTTTAATCAAAATATTTGCATATTATTTTCTCTCCTACTTTATCTGATATTAATTTTGTTCATAATATTATTGTTAATCCCTTGAATCTTGTATCTTTTATCTATCTATCTTTATATATATATAAATAAAAAGAAAGAAAAGGGATTAAGTTATTTTTACTTTAAATATTAAATGATACGACTACAATCAATTAATTTCAAAGTTGTACCCTTAAAATTTATATATACTATAAATTTGAACTATAGTATATACTTATACTATTAGTTTGAATCTTCTAATTACGAAAATCATAATTTCTTAACAACCATGATTATATTTTTAATTATAAACAAGATAAAATAATTCAATGGCATTTTTGCTGAGTGAAAAAATTCATATAATCTGTTAGCCAAGTAACTTGAGAGGACGATCTAGTGTTATTCCAGATTTGAGGAGGATGTATGTCAGAATCTTCATTTCGAAATGTTTATTTTATTAATTTTTTTTGGATTATAAATTGCTTGTAATATTTTCAAAATAATTATTCGGAACAATTTTTATTCCGTAACTATCATAAATGTACTAATTTTGGATTAAGATATAAGAAAACATTGGTGAAAAGAAAAATGCAGTGATGCCAAACGCACATGCACAAGGTCCTACTTGTCCTAAAGAATGATACCAATTCCCGCAAATCCCGCATTTGAATTCTTCAATAAATCAAATTAATTTAAACCAGTTTGTGGCATATTTCTGACCATTATCATGCAGAAATACAACACATTTTGAAAATCAAACACAAACACTACCTAGCTTCATCAAACATCACCCTTTGTTTGACCCATTTGAGGCCAACAACAACAATTGCCTTTCAACAAAAAAATAATTAAACTAACACAACATTAACACTTATCCAATGGTGGTGTGTGGTATCACTACCAGAAATGAATGAATGCATCCCACGCTGCTCCGATGGCAAAAACAACCGGCGTTAGAAGAATGTGGCTGGTGGAGAAGAGGGTCGGCGCACCGGCTTTTACAGGGGCGGCTTTGGGTGGTGGTGGTAGCTTTTCGACATGAACAGCCACCTTCATGCCACTGAAGCAGAACCCTTTGCCACTGATGATGTAATAAATTTTGGTCACGTTCAGTGGAACCACATCTCTACCTGCACCCCTAGTCCAATTTTGGAGTGGATGATCAGAGTTACAAGTCTCATAATCGGTCTGGTTCACCTCCAGCACGTTTGCTTGGTTCCGATCATACACAAAATCTGCAAAACTGACCTAGTTAGCATGAATATATGCAATAGGAAACATTCCATTCCATCTAAATTTGGTTTGGAACTCAATATCAGCACAAGACAACACAGGTTTTCATTGCAACTGCAAATAACTCTTTGCTTCTAAAACCAAAATTCTGGTATAAAAACATAACGAGAGACTGATTACAAACAAATCAATACTACACTAAACAACTTTTAAGATAGAAAAGATAATGAACAACTATTAGCATTGTGGATTACCATTAGCCTCATTCTAAAAGTACATTATGACTAAAAGAAACAAAGAATGTCCTTCTTCAAAAGTACGCTTAACACTTAAAAGTATTCCTTGAAAGGTTATCCAAACATGTAGTATATATTAGGTTGCATTTCATTAACAAATTAAGGCACTAATTGAGGGTGAAAGCATTCTTTTAATTTTACTTTACCTCATTCTTACTGTGATGTTGATTGATGGGAATATTCAGTTTAACTTTTTTGGTTACTTTGAGTTAATTAATCAACTCAAACTTGAGCAGCATGCTTTAATTCACAAAATATAGCAGCACAGTGCATCTTGGCATAGCTAAAATTGTTTAAAAGTTACACAAGATCTGTCACTGATAGAGTTATTTTAAAGGCCTTATCTTGGTGAAGACTTACATTCACACCAAAAGTAACTACACAAATTTTGATCGCACAAAAATGAGGACTTTAAGGTTTTACTTTCACTGAAACGTGAAATGCACTAACAAGCAACAAAATAAGGATGTTAATTAAGGATCTGGGAATGCAGACCAAGGCACAAAAAGGGATCCAATTTCAAAACCCTATTTCTTATTTACCCTCCCTCTAGACAGAAAAATGTCAATTAAGATATCAAAAGGGAACGGGGTTAGGCAGAGTGGAGAAAAACCCCAACGGCATTCCCTTAAAAAATCCAATTTTTACAGTTAATTTACAAATGTTGGCCATAAACCACACAATGATTCCCCAGTTCTTCTACAATACCATCCAATTTCTTATCCATTTGGTTCAATTAAAGACCCAAAGGTTAACTAAACACAGAAAACCAAAAGATCTGAAATTTAAATTATCAAATGTACACCCTCTTGCTTCAAAAGACAGTATATTCAGCAACAAAAACAACAAAAAGTTAACATCTTTAATAACCCATCCCATTGTTATAATAATTCAGATCCAGTTCATACAGAGGCTGCAGCAACACCCATCATGGAAACAAACAACCGTGCATAGACAAAACAGATACATAGATAAACAAGGAGAGAGAAAAAAAGGGAACTTACAGAGCCAATCTCCAAGGTAGAAATGTTTTCCTTTTGCCCATTCAGTGTAGTTAATGTTGGGGTTCCAAAACTGGCTGTTGCCAACTGTCCACTTTGTAGCAGAGGCTTCGGGAAGCATGAGAAGAAAGGAGAAAGCTAGAAAGAGAAGCAGAATTGGCGGTGAAAACACCCTCTTCTTCATCCTATCCTCCATCACCTTTGGTTTGCTTGCTTGGTTGCAGTTACCCTCTTCACAGTTCAACAAACTCTCTGGAAAACACTCTGTCACAATGTTCTGTTTTTTTGGCTTTTAAGGACCCCTTTTGGTTCTTTTCGGATTTCTTTAGTAGCATATGTTGTGTGAAAGTGAAAGCTGTCTTTTTTTTGTTATTTAATTTCAATTTTCAAGGGTTGTTGTTGCTGTGTAGATCTACCATTGATTTTCTTTATCACAATAAACGCAGGAAATTGTACACCTTTTAAGGTATCTTCTACACACAAAAATTGGGTTTTTACGCGTCAGAATGAATAATATATATGTAATAAAAAAGACGTATTTTAAAATATGACACTATAAAAATTAAATTTATTCAAATACCATATTCATATTTTAAAATTTTATTTTATTTTTATTTTTTAAAACACTAAAATATTTCTGTAGAGGACAATATTAATAAAAAAATTAAGTAGAAATCATGTTTTAAAATATTCTTCCAACTTTAAAAAAAAAACTATGTTTTAAATACAGCATATCCTTGAATTTATTTAAAAATTATTTATCTTTAAAACAAAACAATTAAAATAGCCTAGAATCTTGTATAAAAAATGTTTTTAATTCACATGAAAAAAAATGTGTTCGTAAGGGTTTATTATTCTATTGTATCCCTGAAAAAAAAAGTTAAGAAATTACTTCTCTCCTTATTTGCAATGGTTAAATTTAAAAACTATATATTTTTTGTTACTTGAATTCGCTGAAAATTATTACTTTATTTACTATTGTCGTACATTAAACTATTTTATTTTAAAAACTTAAATAATATAGTGAAATAAAATAGATAGATGTGACGCGAAATAATTTATTTTTTGTCTCAATCCTACTTTTAAAGAGGAATAATATAAAATATGGTCATCAAATATTATCAACAAATTTTTTTTACTAATGATTAAATATAATATATATATATATATAATTATTTTTCTCTTTTTAAAATAATTAATATCAAAATGCAGTGAAACATTTTTAACATTTAGTTATAAATATTTACAGAATAAAAATTAGATTCTATTAAGAAAATATAACAAATCTTATATTCATGTATCATCGATAAAAATAAGAAATAGAGAATTTTTTTTACTTTATTATTTATTTTTTAATAATTTAATATTATTTTAAATAATAAAATTATAAAAATTGAATGATGAAAATATTTTTTTTTAAATAAGTGGATTTTTTTTATATGTATATAAATATATAAACAATGATAAATATGGAATTAAACTCTCTGACTAATAATTATATTCTAAAACAACTAAATAAATGTTTTATTTTCTAATTAAAAAAATTACTTTTACATTATTAAATGGTTATCTTTAAAAATAGTTTTTTTTTTAAAAACTATTTTACACTTAAAAAAATCAATTTAGATATAAATAGAATAATGGTATCTAAAATAATATTTATTTCGGTGTTTGATAGTTTTTTCCTATCATAATTTTATCTTAGAAAATATATTTCAAACATGAAAAAGAAAAATATTTAAAAATTATCTTAAATCAACAACCAGAATTAATTATTAATAAATGAATGAAGGTGTATGAATTTGACACCTGGGTAAAAATATTATATTATATGAGAATCCTTAACTTGTAATTGTTATTTCTTTCTCGTGTTGATTGGTGCATTGGTGTGATGCATGTGTTAGTTGATACAACATCCACAAAATAACCCTTTTCTTCTTCAGCCACCAACGTGGTCCTGAGTTTCCTAAAATCACGTTAACACAATGCAACAAGTCTTCACATTACTTCTTCAATCTGTTTAGAATATGCTGTACTCCACCCACAAAAATACCATATTTTTCTTGAAAGATTAATACACTTTAGGTATACATTGTTTGGATCTTTCAAAAATGCAGAAACAATGAAACCATCATATTATCCCATGGCTATTACCTGTGAAGTTTTTAAAAAAAAAAAAAAATCTTTTCTGTTTGGGTGGAACTGGAAATGGGTTAGTATGATCTTGCCTGAAATAAGTCAACAGTGAAAAGTAAGCTCAATCAATTTTTTTATGGATTATGTATCTTATGGTCTGGTACAACCTACTTATCTTGGTCTGTGATTAGATAACCCTAGAATAATAGATTCTCAATGCATATACTGTTTGATATAAATATATAATAGCCATAAATGGTATGATGATGTTTGTTTTCATCTCCCAAAACCTAATTTTCATCCATGTGGTGGGGATTAGTGGCGTTTGAATTAAAGGGCAACAATTGCTGAAACAGAGTTACTATAGCTGCATCTTTTTGGTTGCAATTTTGATGAAAGTTGGTGAACAATTTGAATTGGATACTTATGATGTTAGATCATGTGCTCGGCAACAATCATGAAAGAGGTTGTCCTTTGATTCCTTGGTAGAGCCAGAGTATGATTCTGGGATTGAGAGTATCATTCGGGTACACACAAATGCTACTAAAGAAGGAACGTTTAAAAAAAATCATTTTTATTTTTGAAAAGTTTCCAATTTTCCTCTTTCCTTTTGACTTTCTCTCAAATCAAACAAAATTATTATTTATATTTTCTCATCCATAGTAGGCAGAGAATTTGATGTTAGAAATCAAACCCACGAAACACTGTTGTTACTGCCATTTCCCTTTCAAACCCAAGCACAGGGAAACTGTCATCTCTACTCGCAGAAAATTATAATTGAAACACAGCATAAAAAACTGAAGTTACAAAGATATCAACAAGGAAAAAATAATATCAAAGATGCCATTAATTATTATATAAGAACCCAAAATCAACTTTCACATATGTTAATTACAAAAGATAAAGTTTATAGTCATGATTCAAGAGAAATTACCCAATGCAAAAATATCATCCTAGAAAATATAATACCCTATGAACAATGTGATTGAAAAGGTTCTTGTTATGTTCAGTCCAACCTTCTCAACAAATAAGCAACTTGAACTTCCTTTGTCAATGGCATGATCCAATCACTGTAGAGATCAGCAACCAAACTTGGATTTATTTTGTAGACTGGCTCAGTTCGATGTTCCTTCAAATTTATAATCACTTCTTGCCCGTAAGTCTTGGTCTTCATGTCAACTCTCCTCTTAATTGCCTCTTCAACTTCAGGATATGTTAGCAGTTCCATCAACTTGTCTTTGTCCTGAAAATTTTCCACAATAGTACAAGTTGATTATGTTAAGAATCTAGATTGCAGAGAATGTAAACAAAACCAGAAATTGTCCCTTAGCATGTACATCAAAATCAGCACTCCCTTTGCTCTTGTTTATAAGCCAAAAAAAAAAAAAACTTTGTTTTATTCTTAAATATCATTAAATTCTACATTTTTTACTTCACTTAATGATATTTTTTATGTCTGACTTATGTACTTTTTGTTTTATAGGATTAATGACGAGCATTTTAAGAAGAATATTGGAGAACTAGTAAGATTTAACGCAAGTAATTGATCTTCTTAACCTGGATGAATTGATTGCTGTTTATAGTTATAAATGAGAACAGAGGTAGAAACATTTACCGATAACCAAATAGATTTATCATACATGAGGAAAAACTTATGACACAAAAATTAGCACCAGTTGTTTCTCACTACTTGAATGAAATGTTTCCATGTAAAGCAGATTTCATCAAAATCGGTACCATTTACCAGAAACCAAATAGATTCATTATACATGAGAAGAAAATCTTACAACACAAAAATTAGCATGAATAGATATCACTACTCGGATAAAATGTTTAAAATGTGAAGAATATTTACTGTTGATAATTTGAAATTTCTATAAGTAAATAAGTAACAAGAATTGTATTCGAGTCTGGCCCTCTGATGGGTATTTGTATAGTACCTGTGCTAAAATGGCAGGTTTATATGCATCTGGAGAAGCTTGATATTTTGCCTCGGCTACAAACTTTCCATAGTGGATTCTTTTTGAAAGAACCTACAGCCATAACAAAACAAAAGTTTCCATCAATGTAAGAGCAAGAATTGATCATTGCAATCTCAACTTACTAAATTAAGGCAGAGAAATTGATGAACTTTTCAGAATAAAGCACGAGAAATGTTGACCAAGGAAACTTGAAAATTACAATATTTTTCACTATCCAGTTCATAAAAAATATAATTGGCATACCAAAACATGAAAGATTGTATAGGCTTGTGTCGGAATGGCCTAATGGGTATCCATATTTGTTTTACAACTTTAACACTGGTCATTATTTTTCTTTCATGAAGCAGAATATGGCTTATTTTCAATGGAAAAAAAAATCACTTTTAAGCACCAGACGAATCTAAGCAAGGGTAAACTGGCAAACAAGAACACATGCCAATGCTTCCTTCGATTGGAGATTGTCCCACCACTTGATCTTGTTTTAATTAGGACCAGTTATTTTCCTTCAGTGAAATGAAAGATTTTCAAAAAATATCAAACCAATTGGTCTCGATGTAGAACATGTACTAAAAAGTTAAACACCAATGAGAAAATTGAAAAGGATATGAAATGATGGTATACATAGATTCACATATAATAGAACAATATGCTTAGAGATACTTAAAATGAAGTAAATTAAATAATTGAAAATACAATGCGGGACAAAAACTGGACATCATTTTAATTTAGAAATAAACTTAACTAAAAGGAAACTAATAAGGTGTACCTGCAAGCATGTTACATCACAAACAGCACTAGATCCAGAGTTACCATCATCTCCTTGTTTAACAATTTGTGGGATAAGAACTCTAAAGTACAAGCTCCATACTTTATCGTTTATATTAATTGACTCCGCAATAGGGTGCAACACCTATTCATACATGACACAAATTCAGTGAAGAAGCAATTGGCACATGATAGATATAGCAAAAAAAATAAAATTTGCCCATGCCATGGTCTGCACAATATCCCAAAACTGACAACTAAGGACTAATTTGAGCTTGCAAGGCATGACTTCCACTTGGCCCAACATTATTTTAAATTCATTAAGCATAAAACATGAATTGAATGATGACATGTCATCTTTATGCTTACAGAGGTAGTGTCCACTACTAGTGTTATCAATGGACTTGGACAGGAGGAATTCAAAGAGGTCTACAATTCTTATTCTATCTAATTGAAAGCGTAGTTGTGTCCACGTGAACATAATAAACTTAGCAGCAAACAGAAAATATTAACAGAACAATATTGATTACTGCTATGGAATATTCCGTACCTTAGGGTACTGCAATGGTGGTAACATTGGTTCAGGTAAGCCTTCAGGAAAGAATGGATGCTCATCTGGGCTCTTGTACCTTCCCACCTTCAGTGGAATGAAAATCCAGTCAGAGAAATAAACATTTACATAATCATTCTTTTAAAGAAAACTTTTAGAGAGACAAGACTTATTGCAGTTGGGTGGATGCACATCAAAACAAAATAGGCATGAATTTACAAACCCTTAAGGAACTATATTTTTGGGTTGTGATTGTTAAAATTGATAGGGACAGGTTGGAGACTTTTGGTAGAAGGAATCAAATATAGATTTTTTTTGTGATGCACATCTTGAGCTATTTTTTATGCATTAATACCATTCAGTGTGTTAGCTTATGAAAAATAAGCTTAGGTTCATACCTTGGCATGAAGCTTCTCAGTTTCCCTCAACATGTACTCTACCAATGATCCATGAAAGTCATCCATGGAGAAGGCATCAGGATCATATGTATCTTCATTGTAAGAGTATTGTGATCGCTCCAAAAGACTGAAGATGATGCTATCCTCTAGGCGAATTAAAGAATGCCTTATCTGCTCAAGAGTAAGATATTCACTCGCGTCAATTCTTTTCTTTGTTGACACTGACCTATACAAGAGAAACAGGGAAATTTTAAACATGGCTGAACAGTAATATATGAAGAGGAAAAAACAAATGATGGGGCAAAAGACCACTTACAACCCCATATCCACCAAGCATAGCAACAAGAAGAAAAAAATCCACCATATTAGTTAAAATACCAACTAATAGAGAAATTAGCATAAAATATAACTTTTATTTCTTTCCATCATAGATAATTATGCAAATAGACAAACTTGTTTTACATGGTAATTACCAGATTGGTTGATAGTACAAAAAATTTACCACTACCCGTGCTTATCCTATTTTCTCATAATGTATACAAAAACCATAAACGATATTAAGAATAAAAAAAAATTCATAGTAATTAAAAAAAGGTGTTTTATCAAGCCTTACATTTTATTTTATTTTGTTTGAAAAAAGATCATTGACATTACTGATCAAGCACGTAGAACAACCCCCAATTCCATTATGCACTTTCCTCTTTGCTAACCCACCTATTCCCATTGACAATTTCAATAACAAACACCCGACTAAAAACAAAAAATCGAAACTTTCAGATTAAAAATTGAATCTTAAGAAACCCAACGTGAATGCAGATGATGTAACGTTTCTTACTCAATGGAAGAAGCAGCCTGTGTCCGAAGAGAAAGCTTGGCTTTTGGACCAAAAGCCGAAGTCAGTTTGAAGGGAATCAAAGCCCTGCAAGCTGTGGGACGAAAAACGCATGTGGGCGTGGAAGGAATCGAGTGGGTGATTCTAAGAAGCTTGGACTCCATTGCAATGAAACAAACAGAGAGAAAGTGAATTATGGTTATAGAAAGTTGACAAGGAGAGAAAAAGATGAAGGGTTAAGAAAGAGAGAGAATTGGGATTTGAAGCATTGGAAAAAAGTTTGGTGGGTGGAAATTGAACAGTATTTGGTGGTGTGAACTCCTGAAACGTAGTAGGTGGAGATGTGAGAAGAGACCAATCACCATACCAAACTCGGTGACTTTAAAAGTTTGGTGCGCAAATTCCATTAATAATGACCCCTTTAAATATTATTTTCAACTCTTCATCTTTTTTTAATTTAAATGTATTTTTAATAATTAATTTTATATAATTATTATTTTATTTTAAAAACATACTTCTTAAATGACTAAAATTAACCATGTTAATCCATTTGTGTTAACTCTATTAATACTAGCTATGTCATAAATAAATTCTTTTTTTTCTTTTTTATATTATGATATTTATTGTCTTCTATTCAAATCTTTAATAATAAGGGCGTTTATCTGGGTGATATTATCACCTATTTATATTTAAAATAATATATTTTTTCCTCATAAATGTATAGCTGATATTTTTAATTCATATAATTTATAAATAATGATACTATAATATATGAAGGAAATAATATTTCATCTATTTCTAATGATATACATAAATTTTCTTAAATTTTAAAAGCATTACACTTACTTACTTAATAAAAGAACCATAATAATTATAGAAAAACAAATATATATTATATAAGAAAGTTTTATATTTTGTTGCAAATTTTTTAACCATGTGTTTAATTTTAAAGAGAAATAAAAATACTTAAATATATTTTTACTTATTATAAAAAGTAATTTTTTAAAGATTTCTTTAAATATGTAAAATAAATTTATTTATTTATCTTACAAAAATTCAAACTTAAAATAACTATTTAAAATATTATAAAATTATCAAAACTAAACTAAAATTGAAAAATGTTATAAAAATTTAAAATAATAATTTCATTATAAAAACAAAAAAAATAATTATAATAAAAGTCATGTTGAACTCGTGCATTTGTTAAGTAGGGTTTGGTCTGGTCGACAACTCAACTGATGCAGTACTCTATACTCTCTCTTTTCATTTTAATTATTATTTTTAGTTAAAAACATTATTTTTAATAAATAAATTAGGAATATTGATGTATTGTTTTTACGAATTAATATTTATATTCTTCACTTTCTTTTATGTTTTATTTTCATCTATATTTTCTGAATTAATATATTCCTGTCTCTGAAATTTAAAGGAATTGTGTCTTACTTTCTCAAATTTTCTAAAAATATTTTAATTTCTCAAATTTAATAAACATATTTTTATTATTTAATTTATGATTCTATCATTTAATAACTTTTAAAACTTCACATATTAAAATAACAAAATCATTTTAAAACTTAAAAGAAAAAACTGAGATATTAAATATTTATTATTTTTTAATTATTTAAAATAAAATTATTATATAATTGATTCTTTAATTTTAAATAATTGATTATGTAGTGAATTTTCTAATGCATTTCCTTCTTTATTATCTTCTGGTATGTAGTAATTATAATTTATAAATATTCATTCAATTTCAATTATTCTGTAAAATTTAAAAAGTAAAGATAATAACTAAAATTAGTTGTGGATGTATACTAATTCAAAAATTAAAATATGATGATATAAAAATTTAAAAGTTAAATAATTACTTGAATATTTATAACTCTATAAGATTTTTTTATAATATTTGTTAAAAGAAAAAATATATTTTATATTTCTTGTCTCTATTTCTTTTAATTATATTTGTTTTTCCCAATCTTAAAAATGATAAAAAAAAATGACATCTTTAAAAACTTCGTTCCTTGAACACAGAACAAAGTGAGGAGAACGAAGAAGACATGGCAGTGTCAGCACGAAGGTTCGACATCGTAATCCTCGGAGCCTCTGGTTTCACAGGCAAACACGTTCTCAAAGAAGCCCTCAAATTCCTCAACAATTTCAACTATCTTGCTATAGCGGGCCGCGACCCCTCTAAATTAGCCCAAACTCTCAACTGGGCCGCCAGGCCTAATGCGCCCCCTCCCATTCCCATCCTCACCGCCGATACCGCCGATGCCGCCTCCCTCCGCGCTCTCTGCGGCCGCACGCGCCTCCTCCTCAACTGTGTCGGTCCCTTCCGCGGCCACGGCGCGCCTGTCGTCGCTGCGTGCGCCGCCGAAGGCTGTGACTACCTCGACATCACCGGCGAGGCCGAGTTCATGGAGCGCGTGGAGCGTGAGTACCACGAGCAGGCCGTGAAGAACGGCGCTTTGGTGGTTTCGGCGTGTGGGTTCGACTCGGTGCCCGCGGAGATAGGGTTTTTGTTCCACTCGAGGCAGTGGGTGGGCCCGGCACGGCCAAACAGGGTGGAGGCATACCTGGGGTTAGACTCGGAGAGGAGGATTGTGGGAAATTTCGGGACCTTTGAGTCTGCGGTTATGGCTGTGAAGGATTTGAAGGAGATGGAACGGTGTAGATTCAGCAGAGTAAAACCTAAGGTATGATATCATATGATATGATAGAATGGTCACACATATTTTCATTAGAGAGGTTCATTTCGCTTGAATTTATCATGTGTTTTCTATTTCTTGTTAGTTTGGTTTTTGAGTAGGAATAGAGATTAGTTTTAGCATTTGAGATTTGTTCGGTAGAAATCATACCTTCAGAAGAATTGAATCCCATGATGAAGGAGAAAGAAGTGGAGGAAAATTTTACATATTAAGAATGCTTCCTGATGATTTAACAGTGTAAACTTTTACAGTGACAATTATTAAACTCACGAATTCATATCACCTAATCATGTATTGTGATATGATTAAAGTTTTTTTTTTTTAATAATTACTTTAAGTTATAGTTAATGTTTTTTTAGTTTTTGATTTCTACACTTCATAGAGCTCAAGATACAGCAATAGAATTCATATCAAACCACTATGGGTGCCTGCCTACAACCAACAATATGTGTTACAGGCTTCATTCCTCACACTACAAACAATCTCTTCGATAGGGCATCATATTATCATCACTGACTTACATGTGCTGGTTGTTGATTGTAGCTTATTTTGAATGTTAAAATGTATTGACTTATTTTTTAAACCAAAATTGAATGATCTCTCTATCATCTAAAGTATGATTAACTTAATGTAATCTTGTTATTGAACCTTTTGTTGCTTTTGACATAGAACAGTAATCCTAGAGTATATATTCTAGGTTATACTCCTTAAGTTGGGTTTATAATCTTAAAACTAGTTGCCCAATTTTTATTATCTGTTATTTCCTCTCTATATCTGATATTTTTTTCATATTGTATATCATTTTGCCAACTTTTATTATCCATGGATGGTTGCAGATTCCTGGGCCTCCACCTAAAGGAGAAATAATAGAACACCAGAAGAAAATTGGCCTTTGGGGTGTAACACTACCTTCAGCAGATGCAACTCTTGTTGGAAGAACACTTTCAACTCTAACTGAATCCCCTCATGGTCTTCCTGGGTTGAATGAGAGTGCTGAGATGGTTGAGAAAAGGAAAGCCTTCTGGTCATCAGTAAAGCCGGCTCATTTTGGTGTGAAACTAGGCTCAAAATCTTTGTTGCATTTGTTTGGATTTATTATTATTGGAATATTCATTGGACTTTTGGGAAGATTCTCTTTTGGAAGGTGGCTTCTATTGAAATATCCTTCCATATTCACCTTTGGTGGGTTCAGTAAGAATGGACCTTCTGAAGAGGAGATTGCGAGTGCTTCATTCAAGATGTGGTTTGTTGGACATGGTTTCAGCAATGAGAGCCTTGCTGCACAGGGAAACACGAAACCTGACATGGAAATTATAACAAGAGTAATGGGACCTGAAATGGGTTATGTAACCACCCCTATAATTCTGGTTCAGTGTGCTCTTGTACTTCACAGCCAAAGAAACAATCTACCAAATGGAGGAGTTTACACACCTGGGATTGTATTTGGTCCAACTGATCTCCAGGAAAGGCTTCAACAAAATGGAATATCTTTTGATGTCATCTCAAAAAGTCCCCTTTCTACATGACTCTCTGCAGTTCATCGTTCATTAGTTGGAAAAGAGAATCTGACTGGTTAGAATGCAAGTTATAATAAAGGAATGAGAGAATTGTCCCTGTTTTATTTGTCTATATCTTGTGAGGATACTACAATTATATTGACACGTGCCGTGATCACCACCTGAATCATATCTGACTGACTTCAACAGTTGTTCAGATGGATGTAATGACTGACTGTATACCGGTGGCATATAGATAGTAGAGAGCTAATTGAGGCTTAATTTACTTGGAAATGAAGAATAAACTCAGAAAAAGTGCAACCTTACTTTCTCATGTAATCTTCTGGACTGGGCAATGCCGAGTCTGAGATTGATGGTTTGGTTTGAAAGTGGTAGTAACGTGATTCTAAAACAGAGGGTAAAGGTTGGTCTACTGGCTAGTATGGCTGTGAAGAAATACGTCTGAGGTGCCAATGTCATCGACCTGATAAAAGTATACATCTACTGAAGAAAGATTGCGAAATCCATGGCCTGTTATTTGTGAAGATTTTCATCTACTTATAATGCAAAGTCGAGTCTGAAATGGGAGAACTACTCATCATTCGAAATACAGTAGTGGGTGTTTGTTTGCAGTAATGTAATTTGCGTTTTTCAAAAATGAGATTATAATATAAGATCAACATTTAACATTGTGACCATAGCTTCACCTTTAATCCCTTCGTCATTAATAGTAAGAAATCTTTATGATTTCAAAATTAATTCACATTTTTCCCAAATGTTATTAGAATGAATGCATAGCACTTGAGAAAATCAACTGAGTAGGTTTTAAAGTTTTCACAATTTATTATAAATGTGTATGCGTTTAATCTCAATTTTAATCATTAAATTTTCAACCTACAAATATAATTTACTGTTGTGTTGTTACAGTCCATTTCAAAAGTAGAGTAAAAAACTTTTTTTAATTTTACCCGGTTATAAAATGTATGATTGAAACACAAGATAAAAGAGTAATATATTAAATTTGTTCTTTGATTTAGAAATACCAGTCAATTTAGTATTTGAGATAACAAAAATGTCATTATAATATTTATATTTATGATTTCAAGGCCCAAATGACTGTCATTTTGGACACATTACAATTTTAAACGACAGTAATTTTAGGATTAAAATAATATTTTTTTATATAGTTTGAGACTAAATTACCAAAATTCATAATTTTAGAAAATTATTTAGTGTATTAAAGGTACGAAGGTTTGAGAAAATATTACTTTCTACTTCCACGCACTAACTGAAGCAACTTGTGTCTAATGATGAAATTTCTAATTTGTTTTAGAAAATGATTCCTTAATTGGACATGGGTATAATAATGGGTATCAGAAAAAGTAGAAAGCCTAGCCGTTTCTCAAAAGCTAGGTAGGAGATGCAGCATCCCCAAGATGAAATCTCAAATAATCCATGGTATTAATGATATTCATCAAGATTGTTCCATGACCTATATAAATGTATATATATATCGTAGTATTCTTCAATTGGATGACTACTTTACATTAACCCTTCCAAATATCTTTACAATCTTAAACTTCTAATGACGGCTTAATATTTTCCAAAAAAAGATTGAATAAGATGAAATTAGGGTTCAACATCTAACTTTGTGTGCATAGCACAAATCCATAATCATTCGACAATTTCGGAAACTAGAGATATTTTCCTAATCAATCAACATTTCCCCATTTGTAGTCTGAATTGTGGCCTTGTTACTCTGTAGGCTTAGTCCTTCACCGTGTTTTTTCATTTGTTGACACCTCACAAACTCCTCAATTCTTGCTTTTAGCTCATCATTGGGAATCAACATATCCACAGTTAGATGAGAACGGTTGAACGGGTCAGTCTACACAAACAACCAAACGGAAAACATAAACCAACGAACCACTTTCTGTTTCTGGACATAAAAAGGTGAGGAACAAAGGATGAAAGGTGTACACACTTACACTATCACTAAGAAGATGCCTCTGAATGACGGGGCGATCAACAGTTGTCCTTGAAGAAGGCAAAATAACTGGATCCTTCATCAAAGTGTACTGCAATGCAAAAAAGGGTCAATATATGGTGTGTCAGAATTAGCTTATCTTCTCATTCAAAATATTAACAATTTTAGAGCTTTAAGAAAAAGGAAAGCCATTTTTCCTTAAAAAATATGAGAAGTAATCACGTATTTCGATGCTATCAAATTTATTAAATGAGTGATAGCCCCACCCGAAAATAAAAGGAAAAAACATGTTAACACACACAAAGAATAGAAAACCCACTTGAATTGGATCAAGGAATTCATCTGGTATTTCCCCTAGAGTAGCTTCAGCATCCATGGCCTCTGAAGCAGCAACTTTAGCTTTAGCACCAAGCTGAATAAATTCCTGTATAATTCTCCCATCCTCACCAATTCTGTGAAGGACATCGGCTGCAGCACTAAACAACTGCGGCGAATTACCAGTCAGTTAAATTGACTTATGGTAACACAGACAAAATAAAACATCTTGAGAACAATATGCAAATATATCAAGTCCCACAAAACTTGCCTGATCATTGTATGATCGACCATCTTTTGAGATGACAGATGGGAAGATGGAATTCGTGTCACCCCTAGCCAGATGAACATATATGTGCACAATCTGCAAATGAATATATTAAAGTTAGTAGTTTGTTATGAAAAATAAAATTTGGTAATATATCATACAAAATCTCTCATTTCTATGATCTTCCTCCACACCTAAAAGCCTCAAAATTTCAACAAGAATGATGGAAATGAAACACACGCAATGACACAATCGCAAGTCAAACTTAATATTTTCCCATCTCATTTATTGACTACCATTTTTCCTTTGGTGAGAAAGACTGACACATATACAACCCTTCATGAAGAATGGGACTAATGGAGGCCAAGCCTAAGCTGTTCTGCACCTTTAAGAACTCCTAACCACCTTGTCATAGATATTAGCATATCAAGAACCAAATTTCTACAAAAGCTTAAGCTGTTGGGTAGGGGCATGAGAATGATTTTATATCTCCAGTAGTCATTAATTGGGTTTTCCACATCACCACAAAGTTCAAAACTGTATCATTGGTGGTCCAAAATTGAAGTTCTTTAAACTCCTTAAAATAATGAAGATGTAAATATAACATTTTTAGAGCCAATCCTACTTCAGGCATGTTTGACGATGTCTACAGATGCCAACCTGTTTTAGCAAATGCTTTGGACGAAATTCATATTTCTCAGGATCCTTCAGACTAAGCGATTTTCTTTGGGGACCCACCAATTGCAGCAGGAAGTAATTGAGCATGCTAGCCACTCTTTCAACCTTGAAAAGGTGGAAAAATTAGATTAAACTTGCAAGTAGGACAACAAATTTTCAAAGGAACATCAAAGTTCAGCCACAAACTATTTTATGAGATAATGAGATGCATAACATGCCATGGTTGGAAAGAGAGAAAAAATACCATCTCAGGAAGTAGGAAAGGAGCAGTAATCTGCTCTGAAGTAAATGCAAGCATACTGACATCTTCATTTGCCAACTTCATATCTATCCGAATAATCTACAGCAATATCCAGCATTAAATGCTTTATTAAATGGTCCCTAAAAACAAGTGAAGATACAACATTATATATTGAAATAAAAGGTCAACAGACATTTTCTTGAGAATGGAATAACCGGGTCCTCTCCTGCCTCTCTTGAACTGGTCGTTGCTCCCACTCAACTGTATTTGACATCTCGGCCTCCAATTCTTTTAGCTCAAGAATTTTTTTCAGACTTTCATCTAGAAGATAAATACTATCATTGACCAGAAAGTTTAAGAAATTCAGATAGACACCCTTTTCCTCCTCCTTAGCAATCTGGAAGAATATTATATACAGAAAAATTAGATAAGTTGAGCATGAAGTGAGATTAAAAAATTTCAAATATCTTTCATACATTACCTGTCTCCAAGCATTACGATGACTAGGGACTTGCCACAGGTATTCAAGAAGTTCGGCAATATTATGCCGGATGTTAAACTTGTCATAGAACTGTAATGAACAAGTGACAATTATGACAATTAGCTAGTTCCTTTAGTAAACAACCCAGAATGGCCAATGATCTCAAATACTGAAACTCATGATTTTTAATATGCATATCATATCAATGTGTTAATACTAGCTATATTAGCTTGACTGGGGCATAATATTAGCTATATAAAAAATTGGTGAAGCAGTTTGAAACACAATTTGTAAGTTCCTATGATTTGCTAATCAATCACATACATAAGATTATAATAAGACATAATTATTTATCCATCTTAAGTCATCATTAAGTAAGCAGAATGATTAACATGGACTCCCTTTCAACACTCAAGCTTGAGTTTGAAGAAAAGAGGTGATTTCCAAATATTCAACTATATTCTCCTCAAATGGATCTAGAAATTAAAAGCATTAGGGGGAAAAAAAGGTTGACCATTCAACAGTCTTAAAATGCAGACTAACCTGTGTGTGAGAACCAGTGAACTCAATGTCAACATAAAGTTTCAGCAGATTCCTCACAAGATACTCAAGAGAGAGTTGGTGGCCTTCAAATAGAGTCGCTGTAGCAGATGAGCCACTGCAGAGAGAGAATAGGACAGGGAGAACACATACTCAATTATATAGCTTGAAGACTAAATAAATTTTTGCAATATATAAATACTAATAATAAGCGAATTTTCCAGTTTTACACAAAAGAAAGACAGAAACCAGTTACCTCCTCCGAGGCATCCAGCAGTTCAAGACTTCAACCATCTTTGCTCTTAGGTATGGGTTTTTGATAAATTCGGGGCTGGCCATGAACATAATTATAAAGTTCATAAATTCATCCTGCAGAACAATATAAATTCTCATTTTATTTGCATAAGAATAGAATTTGGGAGAAGAGATTAATTCAAGAAAAAAAAAACACTTTTGAGGAGCACTCTACCAGCACAACTCCATCTAAGGCCTTTGGAATCCGGGATGCAAATATTAGAAGTTCCATGGCATCTTCCACAAAATGTTCAGGCATGGTAGCAAATTCCATTGGGCAAGTTGATGGTAGTGGCATCTGGAAACCACCCACCAAGCCAACCAACCAAACAATCATCAAGCGGTAGAGGGAGAGTGCATTTTGAATAAGTGTATTATCCTAAGGAAAAACATGTGAACCCAATAATTCAAAATCAGGATATTTAAAATTTGAAACTCGCAACTCAGAAAGAACACTTAAAAGTAACAAGAACTTGTCTACATCATATGATTGATGAATCAAGTATCAAATATCAGTGGACATTTAATCTGGAATAACATAATCTCTATAATGTAGCCATGTTATGTCTAAGCATATCAGATGTCGGGCACTAGATGGGCACTTTCAAATACTTTAGTTGCATCTTCGTAACTTTTACTTTTTTATACCAATACTGATAGAAAAACCATAAGCACTAGATACATTTTAGAATTGTCTTGTATCAATGATGTAAATTTATACATTGTATTTATATCTAACGTGTTTCTTGGTAGTTTTAATAATTTTCTATATCCCTATGTAAGTGTCATATTGTATCCATGTCCTCTGTCATGTCAGAGCTTCTTAGCTAAGAAATAAAAAACATTTTTAACTTCCACCAATCCCCAAATTTCACAAAATAAAAATTAAGAAAAGGGACACTTCAGTAAGAAACAAGTAGAAAAAGAAGCCCATTTTGTGACAAAGTACAAATAAATAATACCATACACAATTTATGAATTGCATGATCTAAGTACATTCTGTAGTACAAGGTTTAGTAGAAGAGTACAGCTGAAGAATACTACAAATTGTAGTACACCATACAATCTCCCTCAAAGAGCATATAAAACATATGTGCAACTTGTTATAGCTGTAGGTAATTCGAAAATCCATAAGTCATTGACACACTTCAGTAAATACATATGATAGAAGGTCATTCAAGTTTACTCATAATAAAATTACAACAAAGCAAAAACTTCTCTATATGAAATAACAACAATATACCAGTGTTGGTTCTGCCACAACCACAAATGAAAAAAGATTGATCTGGAGATGATATGTGATGTCATTTGATTGTCATCTATTTTAGTAGATAGCTGGAAAAGCGAAGTCAGCCAAACAACTACAGGAAAAGGCACAAAGCAGAAAAGAGGAGAAAACTGGTGTTTCTACTTTAGAAATAGATACCATATGCATGTGGAGAGAGAAGAATCTTAGATAGAGAAAACTTTTAAAATAGAAGTTTGAGTGAATGACCCTGTACACATTTAGTCTTATTTATGCTAGATCGGAGACTACATGTATACAGACATTAATAAAATTGCAAAAGATTACTTTTGTAGCACATTAGGACCAGTCTACATTATATAACAATAGAATAGATGTACAACAACTATTGCTACAGAAACTATAAAATCTAATCAAGGTAATTAATTTTCTAAACTCCACACAAACCATCCCCCAAAAAAACACACAACACAAGCACAGAAGCAACTAATTTTGTTTTCACATAGGGGCATGTGTTAACATAGATAACAAGAAAGAAACTTAAAAGTAGGAGAAAAAAGGTCCTACCCTCAAAATCTGAGCTTCATAACATAGTTTTTCCTGTGAGTACAACTCCATTTCTTTCTCAAGTCTATTTATTTCCAATTCTGCCTGAGGAGTGGGTGCCCGCTCCTGCATGGCTTTAAGTGTGGACAGAGCATCTTCACACCTAGAAATATCCTGTATAGAATATGACTACAGCGTTTATACTTACATAACATTAGAAAAATCATTAAGTAGATAAACAATAAGGTAGCAATAATAGTTAGCCCCCATAAAATAATACTAACACCTTCCAATTTTACCAAACAAACATGTATTTACCTGAACTAAGTGCTTGAAGTCAGAAAATGCTTTTAAAAGGCCTAAGTTGAGCACTCTTGCGGTCATAAAGAAGCATTCGCAAATAAATGAATATTTCGCCTTTTCAGCTCGTGCAGAATTTTCATTTGAGAGCTCACCAGCATTACTACTACCAGAACTACTGGCCTCTTGGGATTGTTGTAAGCGTTTCTGATCATCATTATATTGATTAGTTGCCCCAGTCTTACCTTGGTTTTTACTATTAAGCCATTCAGCAACTTCTTCTGATGATGCATGAAGAGCAGTCAACCCACTAAAATAGAATCATGACCAAAAGTTACCTATCGGTAGACAGATTAAACTTCCATGAGAATTTTAATATTCACAACACAAGCCCTCACCTTAGCTTCAAGCGATTTGAGTAGTGCACATATTTTGCATCAATTTTATCCCTTTTTGTCAAATTTGCATCTAAAAATGGCTCACATAGACGAAGCATGACAGCACTGAGATTTACAAATGTGCCCGAACTTGCACAAGTAATAGGGTCGACCTGTTTTTAATAAAAATTAATAAAGGTCACACATATTCTCAAAATACTTACAACAAAAGAACAGGTAGTACAAGTTAAAAAATGTAAACTTTAGCATGAATATGATGACAAGGAATGCAGACAAAAAACGAAACAAAATAAGAACTAAGAAATGGAATACAATCTATCTTGTTTGTTATGACACTGCACTTCCACTACAAAAATGCAGAAAAGAAAGAATTTTACCTGTATATGAGCCCTGGATGCATTTATATTGATCACCTCTGCAAGATACTCAAGTACCCTTTCCCGAGTGTCTGTACTTTTAAGAAGGATGAGTAGTACTTCAGCTAGGCCATCATATAAGTTGTTCATGACAGTTTTGATAGTGGAAAATGAAGATAACAAATCAGCCGGTCGCCTAGTTGATGCATCAGAAAAACACTGCTGCCTGAATTTCAAAGGAGAGAAAAAAAAATTGTTAGAGGGGGATCCTGGTTAAATAATAAAGAATTAAATACCTTATCCCATCCAAATAAGTCTCAGAACTGGGGTTCATATGGTAAACATACAGACTTCAACAGGGAAACAATAAACAAGAAATGGAACAAGAATACAGGGCTGCAAATAAACAACAGAGCCTTTTCCCATTAAGAGAAGTTTAGTCCTGAATCAGGTCTAAAGATAAATTCTTGATCTACTTCCTAATTGTTTTACCTATATATTTTTCTTGGTCTCCCTCTTCTCTCCAACTACAGTACTACCCTACACTTAATCTACTCTCCTTACTTGGGCTTCTGCATTTTTGCTTCAAACAACCTAAGGCAAGACAATACTATCCTTTCTATCTACAAAAAGTCCTATCTCAACTTTTTGCCCAACGCACTCATTCATTCCTATTCATATATTGTTTATTAAGCTGATTCATAATGCAACATTCTCATTTCTACTCAATTAACTTTTTTCTTTTTTTGACTTGTTAATGCCCAAAATTCAGTTCCGTACAACATCCCAACTCTTATGGCAATGCAGTAAATTTTTCTAAAAACATAGTGTTACTTTTTTGTTACAAATAACACCTGATGCACTCCACCCTCCTATGGACCCACTAAAATCTCCTATGGGTTTAGATTTCCATTTATGTCTCCGGCATCCTCCACAATGGAACCCAGATACTTAAATCAAGTGACTTCTGGTAAGGTAAAGTCTTCAAGTTTAACATTTACACTATGGCCCATGTTTGTTGTGTCTCTATTGAAACTTGCATTTTCATATATTCTATCTTCTACTCATGCATCCATGATCTTCCAAAGCTCAAGTTAACATCTTTAACTTTCCATTTATTTTCTTCACTAATTCTCCAACCAAAACTTATTGTCTACAATCAAAAAACATACATCATGGTGTTGGGTCTCGGATTTTCTAATTAAGGAAGTTCAAGAATATGGTAAAGAGATCAAATTTACCATTGATGTAGCCTATGGTTATAGGAAAATCCACCACATCCCCATTTTGTTCTACCACCCTAGTAGTGACCCCCTCAACATCATTATTATAGACCAATTATTCACTGAAGAACCAACATAACCATTGTTTCTATTCCATTAACCCAAGGCACAGAATAAAAAAGAACATGAAATTTACACTCTGACCCAGCTTGCTTAACTAATCAGCTATACTCTAACCAAGCTTTCAAAAATGAAACCAAACAATCGCATGAATACTACTCTCATCAACTCCTCTCACCAATGCAGACAATGAGAAAAGCAAGACTGTAATGAAAACAATCAATATATGAATCTCGAAAAATCTAAATTCATAATCTTTAGCTCACCCAACATCAGGCTGGCCCTTGAAAAACGCCTGATCAGGAAGAGCACTAATATGGAAAAAGGGACCCAAAATACTGGTCATTTCAATAGCGCGGCCATTCACATACACCCCTTTGGGAATCCACCACTCGTGATTCACAAGCGACTTGGCACCAACGGGAAACCTAACCAAATACAACAAAGCCCTCAGAGAATCCTGAAAATTCCCAAGAGCAGACACATTCATCACACTCCCTCTCAACTCCTCATATAACCCCTTTAGAATCAGGTCTAAGCTGTCAAAATCCGGGTCCCTGAAAAACTCCTCCAGAAAGCCCGGCGGACTCTTGGCCCCTCCACCACCGGCCCCGAACACGCTTCCGCCACCAACCTCAGCAAAAATCAGCGGCAGCAACGGCGAATCGGTGTTAGAACCAGTCGAATTCCGGCTCGGAAAGAGCTCGGGATTGGCTAAATGAATCCGGCAGTAGTTGACACAGAGCTTCTTGGCCTGCCTTACCACCGCCTCCATCTCCGAGCGCAAGCTCTTGTCCTTCATGTTCGCAATTTTCTTCCCCTCTTCGTGCGCACGGTGGTAGCATCCGACGAGGTACTGGAACGGTGACTCGCAGGCTTCTCCGGCGGAGGAAGAAAAGTCCCCGGAGAGACGGTCGATCAAAACCCTCTCCATGGAATCCCGCGAGAGGCGAAGCTCCTTCCCTTCGCTGAGAATCTCCGCAGCGGTTGGTTCCAAATACACGATTCTTGAATCTGTTGCACTTGTGTTAGCGATTTCCGTTATAGAGACGAGGAAGATTTTGCGGATGATAATGTCCTCCACTTCCTGTGGAGTGCGTTGGGGTTTTGTGGCAGCCATGAATTGAAACTATCGGAGTGATCCAAATGAAACTGAAATTGAAATTGGAATTTTATATTTTTATATTTTTTTTTTCCGTTCTCCTGAGAAAGAGAAGGAAAGTGGGAGAGAAAAGGATCTTTACGTTGAGTGAGAGTGGAAGAGAAGGGTTGAGAATGGAACGTAGTCTTGTTTAGATCTGGAGAGAGAGGAAGAACTCAGAAATGAAATACTACGACGGCGTTTTGTTATTTTCTTTTTCTTTTTTTCCCTTTCATGATTTTTTAGGAGGATTTATTTTAAATTGGGGTAGATATGAAAACTCACTTCTTCCTTTTTCCATGGAGAAGCTCTATTCTATTTAAAAAAAATCATCATCACTTGTTCTGATACATAATTCTTAATAACTTATAACTTATGATTAAGCGTAAGTTTCATTATAGCATAACTTCCATAAAAAATTATACTGAATAAAATATATTGTTTATATAATAATTATAATAAATACTTATGTTTAATATAATTAATTATTTATATATTTGTTAGTGAGAAATATATAAAAGGATCGAGAAAGTGAAGGGAAACAAAAGAATCGAGAACTATACAAGGGATTAACAAGTCGATGCAATTGCTAAAACACCTGGTAAACACAAAGACAAAAACATATCGAGAGTTGCGAAATTTAAAATCGAAGGAAAGGCTAATATACGTGAATATCGAAATTTTTGCTAAGAAGAACGGTCGACGTATACATCGAACATAGTAAGCGGTTGCAAAAGTCGAAGGTCAAGGGAGCGGTTACCTTATTCATGGGAACGTGGATACGGTTTCTAAACCGCGAGCTAGGAACAAAGCCGCAAAAGACGTGCACGAGAACGTGGTAGTAGTCTTCGTTAAGCGCTCTTAAGAGACTACTTGAAAAGACACTATAAATAGAGCAAAGGATGAAAGGAAAGAGGAGCGAGAAAATTGGCGAGAGAACGGAATCATTAGTGAGAAGTCTACGGAGAAACGACGAACATCATGAAGCTTCGGCAATCTGGATTTCCATGCTCATTGAGTACCTTTACCGTTTTCTGTATTTTCCTTGGTAATTTACTTTGATGCAATTTATCTTTAGCAATTTTATGTTTATGTACTTTCGATTTTTGGTTATTTCAATTCAATGAAAGTTAAGTTTCCGCGTTTAAGTTTTCTTGTCATTTAACATTAATGCAATTTCGATTTCCAAGTTATTTATACTTTCTGCACATTTGATTTACTGTCATTTATACTTCCTGTTATTTACATTTCTGCTGTTTCGATTCCCTGTCTTTTATACTTAAAGCAAATTTAAGATTTCTGCATGTTACGTTTCTTTGCAATCTAATGTTCAGCACTGCTTTTCGATTCCACGAATTTTCTGTTTTCTTTACTTCGAGCACTTTAAATATAAAACACCAAAAATAGTATCTTTGAAATCGGGCAAAATTCGATCCTCATACGCATCTCGATTGAAAATTAATTTGCTAGCCTAAGTAAAAGAACTTACGTGGTAGAATTTTGATTAGGATCAAAATATCTTAAGAGTCGAAATCGATCGAAATTCCACCAGAAACAAATTGGCGCGCCAGGTAGGGGAAGCCTTGTGTTAAAAACACAAAATTGGTTAGATCGAGAGTGTATGAGACTAAGGAGTGGGCGAGTTATAAGCATGAGTCAAAATTCATCAAATAACCAGAGTAACAGTGAGGGTCTGAATGGTGTACATTCACCAAATACTGGGGGGCAAAGTCATAATGGGAATATGCCTGTAACATCGACAACTACGAGTATGTCGATACCTGTGGGTAACGAACAAAATTCAGGTACCTTAGCAAACACCCAAGTAGGATCTAATACGGTGGTACCAAATAATATGCAAACTATAGGAAACCCCACAACAACATATGTAGGGCCATATATGAGTGTAAGACCGCCTGGGTTTTCGCTTAATAATACGAGCGGGGCTGGAACTTCTTCAACACAGCGGAGTTTGAGATATAACTTAGGAATGCCTCAAACACTGGGCATGCCCCAAAATTTTGGAGTCCCTCCGAATTTAGGGACATCTCAAAACTTAGCAATCCCCCTGAATTCAAGAAGTGGACAGAATTTAGGCACACAACAAACGCTTCCAAATCTAGATCATAGAGGAAATCTAGATCATAGAGGAAATTTGGAACATGGAAGATATATATTCAATAGAGATTATCATCGATCCAATTTTGAGACTATCGAAAACACTGGTACTGGGATATCCAGTAACTCATTAAGGATACTTAGACAACAAATGGACGAGAGCAATTTTGAGATGGTGAATATGTTGTCACAACAGTTGACTATAGTCCTAAATCCATTAGTTCAAAACACTACTGCTAGTTTTGAGATATTAGCAGACCAAATGTCACGAATCGGGGATGCATTGGCTATACCTCGACGAACAAGGGTAGAAAATCATGCTAACCAGAATGCTAATATTAATTCCCCGTATCTATTAAGGAGAAATCGAAACAATGATCAACATCAGCATACGGGGAATGAATACCAACAGATGAGAAATGATATTTGTGGGAATCTGAATGAAGGATTTCAAAATATGTACAATCAGAATAACATGCAGTATAATCACATGTTAGGACAGAGGATGAATTTCCAAGGGATGGAGTTTAGACCACCCAATCAAACATACTTTGTGTCTCCCTTTCCAAATGTGATTCTTGAGACGGAATTACCTCGAGGATACAAAGTACCTAAATTCACCAAATTTGCTGGAGAAGTTGGTGAATCAACTATCGAGCATGTAGCTCGATATCAGATCGAATGTGGGGACCTAGCGATGAGCGAGGAATTAAAAATGAAATATTTCCCTAGTTCTTTGACTAAGAATGCGTTTACTTGGTTTACTTCGTTGCCACCCAATTCGATATATAATTGGCTGCAACTGGAAAGAAATTTTCATGAGCAATTCTTTAGAGGAGAAACTCAAGTGAGTCTCATCGATTTGATGAATATAAAAAGATACAATCACGAAAGCATAGATGATTATTTGAATCGATTTAGACTAATGAAGTCGAGATATTTCACTCAAATTCCTGAATATGAATTAGTTAGAATGGCCTCTGCAGGCTTAGAATTCTCGATTAGGAAAAAGTTAGTCAATTTACCATTGAATGACATGGCTCAATTAGCTGATAAAGTAAGAAGAGTAGAACAAATTGAGTATGAAAAACAAAGGTACAAGAAATATGAGAAACCCATGAAAAAAGAAAGAGTAGCATATATAAATGATGTATATGAGACAGATCCCATGATAGAAAATGATATTGAAGAAAGCTGTCGAAGAGAAAGTAAATATAGCGAGCTCAAAGTAGGGGCTCCATATTTACGTAAATTGCTACAAAAGAATGAAGTAAAAGATAAAATGGCAAATCGAACGTATACTTTCGATGTGACAAAGGCGAGATAAAATCTTTGATATTTTATTAAAAGACAAACAAATTAAGTTGAGTGATGACCATAAAGCGCCTTACGCAGAACAAAGGAATGGTCGAAAATATTGCAAATTTCATAATATTTATGGACATTGGACTAACAATTGCATACATTTCGGGAATACGATTCAAGATGCGATTGACCAAGGAAGACTGAAATTTGAAGAGATGTCAATGAAAGTGGACACGAGTCCATTCGAAGTTCAAGTGGGGTATATTGAATCCCAAACGGGCATGACTGAAGATGTCCGAGTGACGAATTCTGCTTTTATAGGCATGGTCGATGTTACTGAAGACATTGATCCCAAGCATGTCAGAATAGATGTATGTGAAGAAGATATGGAATTCGATTTGAGTGAATTCGAAAAAGAATTCGAGAGGGAGATTTATCCTCGATCAGGAGATTCTCTCATCGAGTTTTTAAACAGAAAGCAAGGAAAAGATGAAGATGTGTCGTTATGTCCGCGATGCGGCGCGAGTCTTCGATAAGTCAGCTGCTAAAGTTTTCGAGTGGAACGAGATAAAGAAAATTGAAAGTCAGAATGAAAGAAAAAATGACAAAGTGAATCAAACAAGCCAACCAACGATCGGAGAAAGTCAACAGAAATCAGTTGGTTCTGGTGTTAGTGGGAATCAAAGACAGTGGGTTAGAAGAGAGATGTACCCTTCTCGAGGAGGAAGAGGCAAACTCCAGGGTAATGATGTCTTCGAGAGACTATCGTACGATGAAGGGTCGAATACTAGATTCCCAACATTCCAAAGGCGATTCCGTGGAAGGTCCTGGAGAAGAGGAGGAAGAATCCCTTACTTGGAATAATTACGAAACTTTGAAGAGAACAACGTATCAATGGGGGGCCAATATGCAAGAGATTATTTCGACGATAAGAATGAAGGTAGTTGGGATGAACATCGGATCGGGGTGATATCGATACTACCGCGGAATATGTTAATGAATATCAAGAGTACCAAGAACGAGTGATGCTTGATCGAGAAGATGACTTTTATTCAGAACACATAAGGCCAAAGGTAACATGGGTTGCACAAACATCATGTGAAGTACCTCATAGAGATGTTGCTTTTATTGATCCTCCATCCGAGGAAATGAGGTTCCACCCGAAGCCCCTACTGCTGAATATCGAGATTCAAGGACAAATGGTGAATAGAGTCATTGTCGATGGTGGTGCAGCAGTGAACATATTGCCAATCACCATGTTGAAGAGGTTTGGTATTGAACTAAAAGATTTAGTCAGGCACAATATCATGATTTCCGATTTCAGTGGAAAAACATCGAGCTCAGAAGGCATGATTGCTTTAGACGTGAAAGTGGACACTTATTCGAGGTCTACTGTGTTTGTTGTTGTCCAGTCACATGCCAATTTCAATGCACTACTTGGCAGGGAATGGATTCATGGAGTAGGGGTCGTACCATCTACGGCTCATCAGAAATTATTCATGTGGAATCGAGATGGACATCTCGAAGTAATCCCAGGGGACCAGCACGAATTTGTA